GAAATTTTGAGTACCTTCACTGATGATGTCAGTACGTACGCAAAAATTGGCTTCCACAGCGTTAATATGAAACGGAATCGAGTGTTTCACGCTGATTGTTTCGATTTCACTTAGTTTCTTTTTCTTTATTTTTGTTCTTTTTTGCGAAACTTGTTTCGCTAGCGCTTCGTTTTTGTTTTGATATTTAAAGTTTTGTTTTGTTTTTTTTTGCTTTTCTGTTCAAGTTTTGTACTTTTAAGCAAGTTTTCTGTAAAAATAACAACAACAACAATGACAAACATAATTTTCAATGTAAATATTCACTTGAAACGAATAGCAAGAAAACAAAAAAGTATGGGATTAAAATAAAATAAATAAGTTTTAATTAACTAATAGTCAGATTCCACGAAGTAAAGTTTCGTTTGTTTAACTGGAAAAGTTTTGCGGAATCAGTCTATGGCACACATACAAATACAAATGTGACCGTGTTTCTGTGTGTGTCTGTGTGGGTGTGTGTATGTACTTGCTATGTGCATCTGTTAACAGTATACAAAAAAACTGTAACTAGTTCAATTGGAAACATCGAGCTTCCTACACAAAAATGCCAACAAAACTGTTTATCTCACTCTATATATGTATGTGTGTGTGTATGTGTGTGTGTGTTAGCTACAATGTGCAAGCAACAACAATAATGACAGCAAGCCCTTTTTTATCAATACACACATATACTAAGAGACTCAAATACATATGCAATCCTATGTACAGGGGCGCCTCATGGCAGGGTAAGCCGAAATTCGGTCAGTGCTTTAATCATTGAAGTAAAAGCGAAAGCTTCCGTTGCCTGCATTGATGTTGTCGTTGGACATGTACACACACACACAAATACGCTAACACAATTACACACACACACATACTCATACACTCATACACTAAAGAAGTAATTGAATGGCGCCTGTGTGTAGGCAACGCTTTTTTGCACACTGCATACAAGTGCACTTAAAGTACTTTGACACTATTTTTCGAACGGTTGCTCATTGTTGTTTGGCCATTGTTGCTGTTGTTGCTGTTGTTGCTGTTGTTGCTATTGTCGCCATTGTGCTGGCCGCTTGGCTTTTAATCTAGTTTCGTAATTGCATTGACTGAGTGACGGATGACTAACGCTGCCCGCCCGCCCGCCTCCCCTCTGTGGACCGTTCAATGGACGGAAATCAGTTGCATTGTGCTCGAAAAAGCCAAAGGAAATAAGCAAAATGGGATCAAATAAGAATATTGAACAAGTGAAACTTGAACACACACAAATACACAAAAGCACACACACACACACATACACTTATATAGCCATAAATAATTACAGCAACAAACTGACCCTAAAAAGCTGTTGTCATTTGCTTTCAAATTTAAGCTTTCAAATCGTTGCAGACACACACACAGACACACGGAGGCTCACATACACATTTAGATAAACAACAGCAGCAATAACAACAACAACAATGTCAACAGTTTAACTTAAGAAATCAACAAACAAACGAACGAACGAACAAACAAACACAGCAAACAAACCAAAAGAAACAACACAAACGAATGGGAATGCTGAAAATGAAATGAAACGGAAACGGTAATACATTCATAWATATGTATGTGTGTACGTATGTATGTATATATTTTAATATGCACACATTCATGTATGCATGCGTATGCGGGCAGATATGCTTGAAGCTATGTCTGTGTGCGTGGGCTTCAGGACGTACCAGCTCTACTATATTATTGATAAGCAGACTTTTTCCTAAATATTTGATGAAATGTTGGGATTTAGGTCGTTCATACCCATAAGCACAGCCTCAACGTCAGACGCTCGCACACGCATACCAAATGCATGCACACAGACACACACACATACGCAAAATGCCAAAACATACCAAATATACCATAAATACGTACATACATACAAGCACGTGTATACACTTGTATGCGATACGTAACGGAGCGCCACATAACGTAACGTAATGTCATGCACATGTATGTATACAATAAGCAACGCAACGAAACGCAGCGTAACGCAACGAAACGTACCGCCATGTAACGTAATATAAAAATAATACAATACATAAATCCATACATGCACATGTACACTCATGTATACGTAACGCAACGCAACGTAACGCAACGTAATATAATGTAACAATTATACGTTTAATTAACAACAATTATCAAAGAAATACAAGAGAATAATTATACATATATATGTATATATAATTGCATACCGTTGATCGTTGGTAAATGTTCCGAAGGCTCCAGGACCGCTAACTCGGCGCTGTGTGTGTTTAACGTGCATTTTCTGTTACAAAAGCCCAGCGAACGCAGCTCCTCTGCATGGAAACGGTGAAATTGCGTATTCTTACTTTCGCTCTTCGTTAGTTTGTGATGCCGTTATGCCACGGCTGTTACTCCTTGTTGCTGCCTTCTGCTCAGATTAAATCGCGCGCGCTCGCACTCGCACTCACACACACACCAACCGCTCACACACCAGCCGCGCGCACACACACACACTCTGTTGCTGTTGAGTTTTTTATGCTGCTGCTCCTGCTGCTGATGTTGCTGTTGTTGCTCTTGTTGCTGTAGTTGTTGTGATTGTTGTTCTTGTTATTATTGCCATAGAGCACAACCCGTTAGGCCTGTCGCAATGCTCGACTTTGTCATGGTGTATTTGCTGCATATGGTAATCGAGGTTGTGTCTCTGTGACTATGTTAGTGTGTGTCTTTGTATGTGTGTGTGAATTTTGTTTAGGTGTATAGTCTGTCTCTCTCTCTCTTTCTGTCTATCTCTCACTGCCGTTTGTGTCAGTGTGTGTGTGGGCGCAAGTTGCGTTTCGATTTTTGAGAATTAACTAATACGAGAATACAAGTACACGACATATACGAACACATAAACAAAAATAATTGCTTTTCGTTGTTGCTTAGATAACTTCTTGTAGCTCTCTAACTCCCTCACTCTCACTCTCTCTCTCTCTCTGTCTCTGTCTTTCTCACTCACAGAGGCCGCATGCTGAACGTTTTTAGCGGCTTTTTATTTGCTCTTATTATTTTACTATTTCACTTGCTAAACTCTGTCGGTTTGGTGTCTGTGTACGTGTGTGTGTTTGAGTGTATGCGTGTCTGACTTTGGTGGGTTATAGTTGGAGGTGTTAAGTAACGTAGGTTGACTGTCTAAAATGTAGTTACTAAAATAGTTAACAGCACTAGTTATATTGCTTATGGATCTGGTTGGGTTTGGTTTCGCTTTCGCTTTCGAATTGGAATTGAAATTAGAATTGGAGTTTCAGTTGGGCGCTAATGCTGAGTTTTGAGGTTATGTTTAACGTATTTGTCTACTGAGTATATATGTATATTAATACCATATGTTGCTATTTTTATTTGACTTGTATCTATATATCTATGTATACATATGCCTACAATATAATATATTATATGTAGATTTTTCGTGTTTTGTTGTGTTCTTTTGTACTTTGGATTATAGACGTCGTTTTATATACTCTAAGGGATACCGTTATTATAGTTATTTGTTTGTCGTTTTAGGTGGAGTTGTTAGTGGCGATGATAGGCGGGGCGGGCGAAACTGAAGGATGGTGGGCAGCAGGCGGAGAGCACACACGGTTATTTATTTGTGTTTATCGTTTATCGTTTAAGATCGTTAAATATACATATGTTTAGAATATCACAAAGAACGGCTATAATAAATGTACTATTTAGCATCACTTTTTTCTAGGCCACGGCAAAAGAATATAAATTGAATTTCTATCTGCTTCGATTCGGCTCCTTTTTCTTTTTCTTTTAGTTTTTGGTTTTTGGTCTTGTCTTCCTCTTACTCTTCCGTCTTCCTCTTTGTCTTCGTGCTCAAAGTTCAATGAACGCAACGAATTATCTGCGATGACTTTTCGCTACTTCGCTAATGGCTTGTTGGAAATTGTTGTGAGTTAAGTTAAGGCGTTATGGTGTTACCGTTATATATATAAATCTATATATATATTGTGGCTATATTGTGGTCCGGGTTTTTCTTCTTCTTTCTTTTTTAATTTTGGGGTAACCGGGCCGCTTGTGGTTGGCCGGGCGACCGTGGGGCGTGGCGCGGCGTGGCTTGTGCTGAAGTTACGTCAAGGCGCGTAATGCAAGAAACCCAAACACAGGTATATATATATATATATCTATACGTATATGTATTTAGATATATCTCTAAATGTAAGCTATAAAAGTTGCACAAGCAGCACGCGAGGCGAATTTGTAGGCGTCCTTGTCGTCCTGCACGTCCTTAATTAGTGCGTTTATTTCGTAATTCTTGGAGTTTGTAGTTTCGTTTTTGCGGCTTTATAAAAATAAATCCATTTACACATACATATACATATACAGATATATAATTAGTTATATTCTATGCAATTTGTATATATATATGTAGAGAGAGAGGCAACTACTTGGTAGTTTTAGTTTAGTCGTTAAGTGCGATTAATACTACATATATATAATTGTATATATATGTATATATAATTAATTTGATTTTGCTACATGAAGAAGACGCTTGTTCTACAAACTACGAGGTTTCCTTTAGCTATAGCTCTAGTTATATCAGTTATTTCATTCATATATATATATATATCATAACGTTTTTATATAAGTAGCACATATATATATATATATGCGTGTGTGTGTGTGTTTTTATATAGGTAATAGTTATGTCAGTATATAACGCCTCTATAGATAATTGTATTGTATATATGTTATAGCACTTTTCCTTTATATATAAGTATGTATGTATGTATGTAGCGAGTGTTTTTGTAATTTTCTGTTTTTCTTTTTTTGTTGTTGTATATTTTTAAAAGTAATTTGTTCTTGCTGTGTGTGTGTGTGTACTTATAATTGCTGCGCTTTGCTGTAGGTGTGTGTGTGTGTCAGAGTGTTTTTATGTATTTGTGTATTTGCTCAATTTCTTTGTTGCAGGTACATAGGTTTTTGGTTATTTTGTTTTTAAGGTGTTTTGTGGTTTTTTCTTAGTTTGCTTTTAGGCGTTTCCGGGGTCGTTGATTAAGTAATGCTGCACTTGAAGTTTGATCTAGTTGTAGCTTATATCGTTTGTTTTCGTTTCGTTTCGTTTTTTTTTTCTATTTTTTTTTACTATTTGATTATGTAATTATGCTTGGTCTTTACTGTTATATTGAACTGTGTTATATGCCACTTGCGCTCAGTTTAGCTGCTTCGTTTAAAATTTTGGCAAAAAAGAAGGAAATATGTAATTCAGAGGTAATTCGTCATCCACACACACACACGCACATAGAATCACGCATATATACATGCACACATATATTTCCATATATATGTATGCATATAACTAACAACACACACCCATAGATTCACCGTGTGCGTGTGTGCTTTTATTGAATGAACCGTTTAGCGTTCGTTAAATGTTAAACAAATTCTTTACGCAACACAATTAGACTCTTTCACACACTCACATACACACGCACAGAAACCGCAAGCGAATCATATAAAGAAAATGGAACACAAGAATAAAGTGCACGTTAAATCAATGCTTCTTTTGACCTCTATTACATTTTCGTTCGTCTTCGCTTGCGCCTTCGCTTTTCATGTCTCCTTCGCCTGCTACCTGGAACGTTTTTTTTCGTTCGCTTCTGCTTCTTCTTCGTATTTTCAATGTCCCGTGTTACGGCACAGTTGGGCACAGCGTGTTTCGATTAGCTTTTTTTTTAAGTATTGTGAAGTAGATTTCTTAGCGCGTTTTTCTTGCACGTTCGCTGCGTTTATCACAATGCTGCTTGAATCAATTGATTTATAACAAATTATGGAATGTGGGTGTGCGTGAGAGTGGCGCTTAGCTTAGTTTAGTTTTGCTCACAGCAGCGTTTCACTTATTGTATGTGTACTTTCAACTGAAAATCGCTTTACATAACGGTACTCTGGTACTCTGTTACTCGCTGCTGCTGTGCTGTGCGAAACACGACACGAACGAACTCAGCGCGACAAGTGAATCTTCGCTTGGCACTGACGTGCGCCGTGAGCCTGTGAAATTTCGCTGAAAATCGATAAGGACACACACGGACCAGACACACACAAACAAACACGCACACACACACACGCACATACACACCCGCATAGAGCTAGCGCAAATGCAAAAGCAGCGCAAAGTCACCAAAACTAAAAAGCACAATACACCGAAAACGAGAGCGCTCACTGCCAGTGAAAGTGCACATGTCCTGAACGTGCTGCTACACTGGTGGCCAACAATAGTGAGCGCGGTGCGATAAAGCGTGCGGCATTTAGATTGTGTTCGTTATTAGATAAATTTCTTAAAAGCACCAGCAATATAGTTAGATTAAATACCTCTTTTCTTGATTTCTTTTACGATATGGATTAAATGTTAAAAATCAAATATTATATGAATTTTTATTCGTTATTATTATTACAATATTATATTTTATATGGTTTCGAATGTAAAGAATTCACTTACTCATATTCCAAGCGAAGATTGCGTATACGCAATTTTTCTACAACAGTATTATTATTACTAATATTAATAAATAAGCAATTTTTCATTAAATTATGTTAAATTTACGTGCGTATCATAGCTACATGTATTACATCAAATATAAATAAATTTTTATACACCGCTCCTTAGAAGCAAATTACGTATACGCACGAACCCAACCATTTTCTGAATAGAATAGAACAGTAATAGCAGCAGAGCACTCAATTGCTGGCCACCAGTGTACACGCACTTATAAGCGTCATCTAAGTTAAAGCTGAGAACGTGAGCATGCGAGTGCGCATTTGTTTGGCAAGCTTTGCTTTTGCTCAAAGTCCTTGCGCTCACACTGGCTGCCAGCGGCGTCGTCGTCATTCTGTGACGTTTGCTCGTGCAAAAACAACATAAATAACTGAATGCCGAATGGAGAGCCGAGCGCTAGGCCCGAACACGCACGAACTGGCGGCGCTTGGCTGCCCGCTGCTTGCTGATTGTGCTTTGCTTTTGTGTTTTCGCTGTGAATGAAAGTTCGAAAGCATCAGCTGGTTGGGCTTTAACATATTCTCAATTGTGCTCAACGGGAACCCCTGTTTGTTCTACACCCAAACACCCACACTCTCTCTCTCTCTCGCGCGCTTCGGCAACAACGGCAACGGCCAAGTAAACAAATACATGTGCACAGCGCGCGGCGCGCACATGTTCAGCTGTAGCTGTAAGGTCAGAGCAGAGCGCGTCCTTACAGTGCATGCTGGCAGTATGCATACGCGAGTGCATTTATTATTGCTGTATATATTGTATATGGATAACAAACAATGTTAAAGCTATGTACAATAGGCAGGTATTCGGTGACTTTGTGGCGCTGCCCGAGCCTCGCACATTAAAGTTGCCAAAGAAGAAGGTCCTCGGCAGCTTGAGTGAGGGCAGCGCCTGACATTGGCCGGCAAACCAGCGGCGAGTGTTACCATCGCTGTCGCGGGCCACAATGCAAATCTCGGCGCCACCCAGTTTCGCCTCGCCGTGGGACAACAGCTCGGCGACGGGTATTTCGGCTGTGCGCTGATTGTAGGCATAGTCCGYCTGGTGCAAAATCTCGTTGCTGCTGCTGCGTATGTAAACATTAAAGTCCGCCACGTCTGCAATGGCTGAGACAAACCAGCGCATGGTCAGATTGCCCGCCTTATTGCTAAACATAAAACAAAAGAAAATTTAGCTACAGCTGATTTAGAATATTTGAATAAATATTTATAACCTACGTTTGCACCTCGCGAAAGCGGACATCCGTCAGCTGTTTGTACTCGTTGCCCGCATAGAGCTCCAGCTCATCCTCCCTGCAATTTAGGTATTCATCTTCGATGTTCAGCAGGTGCTGATCCTTGACAATGCTGGGCGTCTGGCAACTGACGCTGCTTAGGTCTTCGCTAGGCGCTGTCTGCTGCAGCATAAAATGCTTCAACGGTCGCACGTTACAGCCGCAATACAGCGGATTCTCGGCCAACAGGACTTGGCTACCATTGTGCATGGTGGCCACCAGCGAGGCTGGTATATCCTCCAGGCTATTATTCCGCAAGTCAATGTATTTCAGCGACTTCGTCTTGACCAGATTTCCAAAGGGCAAATGATAGATTTGATTGTGCGAAATATCCAAGCTGCTCAGATTCTTGGGCAGATCGAAGATATGCTCCTCGGACATCAGATTCGTCAACTCATTGTGGGACAAATCCAACGATTGCAGCGAGGTAAAGTTCGATAAGACGCCACGACGCAGTTCGTTAATTTGATTATGGGACACATTCAACTTGAGTAACTTCTTCGTACCGAAGGTTATGTCATAGGTGAGCACGGGCATTTGATTGTAGCTCAAATCCAAGTACTTCAGATTGTAGGGTATATACTGATGGGATGGGAAGGTCTTCTTGGTCACGAAACTGATGCGATTGTGGCTCAAGTTAAGTGTCTTCAGGCTGAGCAAATCGTCCAGCACACCGTGCGTCTTATTGTCCAGCTTCGAGAGGGCATTGTGCGACAGGTCGAGCGTGCGCAGCGATGGCAATCCAATGAATATATCATTTGGCAGCTGTCTCAGCCCGTTGCTTGACAGATTGAGTGTGAGCAGCTGCAGCAGCCCCTCGAATGCCCGTTTGCTGTGCAACCGAATTATTCATTTAAATGCATCTGTTTGACTGCAGTGTCAGGTCGCAGCACTTACCTAATATCCGAGACCTGATTCCCATAAAGATTGAGCTCAAACAGAACTGGCAGCTTGCCAAAGGCGCTTCGCTCCAACACACTAATGTTGTTATTCTGCAAATAAATTATTTGGAATTATTAGACACTGTTCAACTGAGGACATAAATGGCAAATTAAGTTTAGAATTTGCTAATTAAATGTTTGGAAACGACAAATTAAAAACTTGAAGTTGCTAAGTCAATAGAAATCTTGCATAAGTAATTAAAAAAACATGAATCATGCTGGAAACCAGTTCGAGACCAATAAAAAAAGTCTCCCTAATGACACAGAGAATATTTAAGAATAAATTAGAATCTAACCATAACAGAGAATCATTGTTAAGGTACACTCACCTCCAGGTAGAGATATTGCAGCGTTGACATCACAGCCACCGCCTCCAATGGCGGCTTGCTGATGCCGTTCGACTGCAGCAGGAGACGTTGGACAACCAGCAGCCCCGTAAAGCTTTGTCCATCCAAATTATCGGCAAGCTGATTGTGACTGAGATCCAAATATATCAAGGAGTTCATAACCGGCCAGGTACCCGCTGGTATGGAGCTGATGTTGTTGTGGCTCAAATGCAACTCATTCAACGAGATGGGCAATTGGAAGAGCTTCTCCAATCGATTATTATTCAAAAAGAGCTGCCGCAAGCTTGTCAGCTTGGCCAGCGAACCGCGCATAACATTAACCAGTTTGTTGTGGCTCAAGTTCATCTCCAGCAATGTGGGTAATGTGCCAAATGTCGAGGATTTAATCTCCCGCATGCTATTGTAACTCAAGTCGATGGAGCGCAAAGAGAATAACGTTTGAAAGACGCCATTGAATATTTGAGATATGTTGTTGTGCGAAACATCGATTGTGTGCAGCTCATAGAGTTTGGGAAAACAGTTCTTGGGTATTTCCGTAATGTTGTTGTGCGAGACATTCAAGATGCGCAGGCCAGACATATTTTGAATGGGTATCTAAAAATGTAAATGTAGTTAGACATATCGATGCAGTTTATCATTAAAAGCCAACGTACCTGTGCCAAGTTGGTAAAGACATTGAAGCTCAGCTGAAACTCCGTAGCGAAGGTCGTTTCATCGAAACTACGACGCGAGAAGTTAGCAAGTCGATTGTGTGAGAGATCCAATTTGGTTATATTAATGCAGTTCTCAAAGGCAGCCGTTTCAATCAGCTCCAGGGCATTGTGCGAGATATTGATGACAGCCTGGTAAATGTCCTTGAACGAGTTCTTCTCGATTTTTGTTATATTGTTCTCTGCCAGGTCCACCAGCTAGAAACATATTAGTTAATAATAAAATATCGAATATTTATTCCATTTCACCTACCTCCACATAATTCATTTGCGTAAACATTTGATACTCAATCTTCTTCAGCTTGTTGCGCGCCAGATCAATTGTGCCAATGCGTGCCACAGAGCCGAACGTGCCACGTCCCACATCTGTGATGGCATTGTCGCTCAAGAAGAGACGACGCAGAAAACGCATTCCTCGAAAGCTGTTCGCGTCCAGCTTGCCAATCTTGTTGTGTGACAAATTGAGAACTTTGAGCACCGAGTTGCGGGCAAAGGTGCCACGGCTCAGTTCGGTCAAGGCATTGTGCGAGACATTGCACCAGCCCAGCTTTGTTAGATCCGAGATGTGTTGCGCCTCCAGTTTCTTGATCGTATTATGACTTATGTCCAGCAATTCCAGTTCACGCAGATTCTTAAATTGATTGCGCTTCAGATTCTCCAGCTGATTTCCATGCAGATCCAGAGTTTTTAGTTTTCGCAGCGGCTGAAATGTCTCCACGGGCAGATCACTCAACAGGCCATTCGTAAATCGTATAATTTCGAGCTTGTTGGTAATTTCTTGACCCAAAAACAGATCCTTGGGCAGTTTCTCAAATGCATGCCCGTCGATTACCAACTCACGGGTTTTTCCCAAGATCTGCGGCATACATTTATAATATTATTTTCTGGGAAAATTTAAATTCTTTGAATTCACTTACGCCAAATCCCAGCTGACCAACATGACTTAGATTCGTTCGCAGCAACTTGACCTGCTCTAATGTATTGTTCATGCCATAAAATACATAATCCTCAATGGTGGCAAGGGGCGTCTCCTCAATGGTCAAAACGCGCGCCTTAATATGCGCAAAAAGCGGTCCAAAGAGGCGTACTGAAAGTAGCAGATAAATCAATATCTTCTAATATAATACGTATGACCGGAACGCACCAAAATGTCCCTTGTATATGGTCAACTCCTCCACTGGCAACTCCAGAGAAGCCAAGTTCTGAAGGGCCACCGAGAGTGTGGCCAAGTTTGTATTTTCGCAGCGAACAAAAATGCCAACATCGCTGCCATTTACACATAGACAGGGGTACAAAACTTGTGGTCTATAAATTTAAAAAATGTAATTTTTAAAAACTCAGTTCAACTTTTGTTAAACATATAATAGTACAAGAACTTACTTTCTGGGGCATTTGAACTTGGGTTCGCCATAAATATATTCGCTGCTGACTAAGACAAATAACTGCAGCAGTAACAAGGCGATGGGGCGCAAGCGTAACTGAATCATGTTCAAAGTATAACTTGTTTATTTACGTTTTATGTAGGTGTATGCGTGTCTTTGTCGCTGTCGTCATTGGTTCATTTTGGCCATGGCAAGAGAAAAGAGTTTGTTGCTTAAGTCTATTGTTTCTTCGTCAGCAAAAAAATTGTCATTTCCAACCATTCAACTATTTGTCATATGGGTAAACCTAAAGCAAATTATATTAGTTACAACTCATTTCTATTTCGTATGAATATATTTCCACTTTTACTTTTAAGCTGCGCTCGCGCAACAGGTTCCGCTTGTCTTTCTCTCAGTTTTGTTACTGATTTGCTATTGGTTAACAACTACCGTTGTTGTTAATTTGCGTGGAGGCCACTTGCCACTAAGGCAATGCCAGCACTGCACATGAGACATGACTTATAATTAGAAAAGTAAGAGTAGTAATTACATTACTCTTTGTTTCATTTTAACTTATTCATTTTATTGTCAACCAATTCTATTTGCCTTTTCGACGCGCCACCATATTTGAAACAAGTTGGCAGCGCTGTGCCTGCCACTGTGTGGCCGAAGCTATCGATATACCAAACATGCAACTGTATTCAGACAGCGACAGCAGTGCAAAAGCAAAATCAACGCGCTAAATAAAAAATTATTGTCCGGTTTTTGAGTAATTTACTGTATATTTTGACGCGAAATCGTAAGTACATATTGCTCTTGGTGTATTCGGTAATATATCCGTTCGAAAAGCGGGCAAGAATTAGGCTTTTGTGAATTGAAGAAAGTGGACATTGTTCACGTTTTGTTCTTTGACGACAGGGAGAAATACTGACTTCGCCCGATACAGCCGCCATCGAGCAAACAGCCAATCACAGAGCGCGCTACTCACACACACATAGAAGCGCACTGAAAATCCGTATATGTACACGTCTATTTGCGTGTGTATTCGTGCCCAGGGAGAACGCGAGTTATTTGTTGCCACCCGTTTTATTGGCGGCAAAAAGTGCGTAATTCTAGTTGGAAGACATATACTAATGCAATCATTACATTTATTTAATTAGATTATTTTGATCACAAAATGAGCTACGCTGCGGACGTTCTAAATGCTGCTCATCTCGAGCTACACGGCGGTGGCGACGCTGAGTTGCGCCGGCCTTTCGACCCAACTGCTCACGACTTGGATGCATCTTTCCGTCTGACACGTTTCGCGGACCTGAAAGGTCGTGGTTGCAAGGTGCCACAAGAGGTCCTCTCAAAGCTCGTCTCAGCACTGCAGCAAGACTACTCCGCTCAGGATCAGGAACCGCAATTCCTCAACGTGGCCATACCCCGTATTGGCATTGGTCTTGATTGTGCCGTCATACCACTGCGCCACGGAGGTCTTTGCCTGGTGCAGACCACGGATTTCTTCTATCCGATTGTGGACGATCCCTACATGATGGGGAAGATAGCTTGCGCGAACGTACTCAGCGACTTGTATGCCATGGGCGTAACTGATTGTGACAATATGCTTATGCTGTTGGCCGTAAGCACCAAGATGACGGAGAAGGAACGCGATGTGGTCATCCCACTAATTATGCGGGGCTTCAAGGACTCAGCCCTGGAGGCGGGCACCACCGTGACCGGCGGCCAGAGCGTTGTGAATCCATGGTGCACCATTGGTGGCGTCGCTTCAACCATATGCCAGCCAAACGAGTACATTGTGCCGGACAATGCTGTTGTGGGAGATGTTTTGGTGCTAACGAAACCATTGGGCACTCAAGTGGCTGTGAATGCGCATCAGTGGATCGATCAGCCCGAACGCTGGAACCGCATCAAGTTGGTTGTGTCTGAGGAGGATGTGCGCAAGGCTTATCATCGTGCCATGAACTCTATGTCGCGCCTGAACCGAGTCGCTGCTCGTCTCATGCACAAGTACAACGCCCATGGAGCCACCGATATAACCGGTTTTGGTCTGCTGGGCCATGCACAAACTCTGGCCGCTCACCAGAAGAAGGATGTTTCCTTTGTTATCCATAATCTTCCAGTGATTGCGAAAATGGCAGCTGTGGCCAAGGCCTGTGGCAATATGTTCCAGCTACTGCAGGGACACTCGGCGGAAACTTCGGGCGGCTTGCTCATATGCTTGCCCAGGGAACAGGCGGCTGCCTATTGCAAAGATATTGAGAAACAGGAGGGCTACCAGGCCTGGATCATTGGCATCGTGGAGAAGGGCAACAAGACCGCACGCATCATTGACAAGCCGCGCGTCATCGAGGTGCCCGCCAAGGACTAAATGTTTTCCTTTATCCTAATTACAGTAATTTTTTAAATGCAAACACATGATGAGTTGTAACGCTAATATGAGTGAACTAAGTTACCGTTTTTGTAAATGATAATGAAGAAGGAGAAGCTTGACTAATTACATTAACTATAATTTTGATTTTTTGTAAAATCAATTGACACTGCTAAGAATGAAACGAATAAATAAAACAAACACCTGACTTTGTGTTGATTGAATATTAAGCACCTGCATTCCATTAACAAAATTAGCCGCCAAAGCCAAAAAGCTCTGCCGCAGAGCTTTGCGTCGTGCGACCAACAGGCCTACGGGCGACAGCGTCAATTGGGATGCTCACGCGCTCTGCGAGCACTTGCTGAGCATTCCATAACAGGTTGAGTTCATGGTTCATTACATGAGCAGCGATGACGTCGCAGTTTCCAAGCGTATATTTATTTGGCGTATATTATTTTGGGACATAATAATAATTAAAACACAAAAATATGTGAAGCTTGAAATATTTTGCAATTAAAACGCTTCATTAATATGAATTCACATCAAGACAGATAATAATAATAATTAAAAAATGTCTATTCGTATTCAAATAGCTTGTTTGAATATGAGAAGAAAAAGCTTTACGAACAAGAGAGCGCGAGCCTGAGTCTGAGAGAGAGAGCAGTGCTTGGCGAGCACAACCTATAGATCAAGTCAATTGGGGGTCTGATCTGTTTCGATCGTGCTCTGTTCATGGCAAGTGCAAAATTGTGAAGCCTCAGTACTGCACAAACCAGCGAGGCGCGTACGCGTATTGAAAGCAAAGCTGTTCCCCGTTACCGTTACGTTTTGTAGTAGACACACGACACAGACACGAACACACACTAACAAATCACAAAACACTTACACATACATACAAACGAATTTCTAAGACTAACGCGCCCGCGCATTGTAGCAATTTTCTTTTGGCTGAACACTGAACCCGCCGTCGTCGCTGCAACAACAAATACAACAAAAGCAACAGAAATACAATTACAACAAATACAACGGGTCAAATAGTCTGCACCAATAATTTTGGGTTTTGGAAAAGTGCATAGTGAGTGCTTAATGAATGATATTGTAAATGAATAAATCTATTTACCGTATGTATGTATGTACATACGTATATATGTATATGTGTGTGTATCTATGGAATCTAGCTATCTCTTGAACTGGCAGACAAGCTCAAAATACAAACTGATGACGGCGACAAACTCACATAGAAACGAGTTTCAATTTGTTTTTTTCTCTACGCTATCCGTTGATACTCTCATTTGCTCATGCGAGTATCTATTATCTATGTGTGTGTGTGTGTGTGTGTGTGTACAGACTCGCAAAGAGAAATTCAAATGGTGTTCAATAAAAATACGCATTCAATTGCATCCGCATCCTATGGCTAACTGTATATATCTGAGGATGATTCATTTCTGGGGCGCACTCGATATTTTGTTGTTGTTTTTGCCTTCTGTTTGAATCAAGAACAACAAAAACAGTTTTCGGAATCGAAAGCCAAAAAGAAACGGTGGCAGTGAACTATTTATAGAATTATTTGTTTTCATACATCAATATGTGTGTACGTACACCAGCAATAGCAACAACAAGAGCAAAAGGCGAAAGTCTCGCTGACAATGAAGGCAACGACAACCGTTGCCTATTCTTTTGCTTAAAAAAACGCCGCCGTTCAAAGTTTTTTTTCGGCTAAATACAAAAAAAGAACAGCAAAAGTCAAATGGAAGCAGCGAAATAAAGAGCACATCAATACTTTTTTATTTTTTGTCTTTTTGAAGATTTGCGTATTCATACATAAAATTTTCAATTTAAATTAGCCAAGTTCAAACGTTACCCAAAGCAAATGTATAAGGTATATGCATGTACATACATATACATATACATATGTATTTGTGTGTGTGTGTTTATGTGTTAACTAGATTGAACTGTGCGCTGATGCTGTTGCGTAGGTGGGCAATAATAACATCAACGGCGGCAGCATCGTCACCAGCCACACAAATTGGCAATCTAACTCAGGCGCTAGAATACAGCGCTCACACAAACAAATACATATGAATACATGCAAACACATACGCATACATACAAATGCATGTTCTACGCCTTTTCGCCTACGTTTTCAATTTGATTTTCGGAAATTTGAACAAAAACAACAACAACAACACCTTCGCTTTGCTCTTTTCGGCCATTTCAAGCTTGTTCGTTTGCTATTTTGTTTATTTTATGTTTGCTTATATGCATACACACACTCGTGCCTCTACAACATATTTATGTATCTGTATGTATTTGTGTTCACATGTATGTAGATCGTTGGCATTTTTGCGAGTTGCTGTTTACCCCTGCCAGTCCCGCCTTTACGTCACGCCCACTCCAATGGCAGACAACAGCAACAGCAGCAGCAGCAGCAGCAACATGTTCCCACTTTTTGTCTCTCGTTCCGATTATATGAGATCATTTTGAATTGTACAAAAAGCGTATGCAAAAGCAAACATACGCATTACACGCTTCGCTCTCTATCTCTCTTACTCGATCTGTTTTTTTTTAAATATAAATCAATTTGCCTCGAAGCGCCACTGTAGAAAAAAAACGTGCTCTGTATGATCCAGGCGTCAATTACATTTAGCCTTTTATTTATATTATGAACTTTTTATTGTTGTCTTGGCTTACGTGAGCTTCTTTATTAGCTAAAAAAAAAAGTCTTGACCATATGGCGGCAAACGAAAGATCATTTTGTAAGAATCTTGATGTTCATTTGATTGAATCTGATGTGATTTGATTAGGGGCCTAGACGCTGTGATTTATTTAACTTACGTGAGCTAAGATGTATGTGTCTGTGTGAGCCTATGTTTCTATTTGCATATGTCTTTGCAGTCAGTCGAATATTATTTGTTTATGACTGGGATGACATCATCTTTGGTCATCCTTGTGTTTGCATCTGCTATTCTCTCACATGCGCCTTATACAAAGTCATTCATTGAAATCTCTTACTCAAGGTTATCGCTAAATCACATAAAAAAAAGCTCATCAACTCTGTAGTCAGACGAATATATGTACATATATATACAGGTTTTATTTTACTTTTTTCGAATTGTTTCATTCGACGAAAAAGGAACTAAGGACACGCTAAAAAGTGAAAACCAGTTTGACATTGACTTTGCCAGCAGCTCGTTCATATCTTTTGTTTTGTATGTTTTCTGTGTCGTCAGTTCCGAAAATCAATGCCAAATTTTGGGGCACATAAATATATGCATATAGGCTTTTTTTTAAGGCATATTTATGTCATCAATTAACTTGAAAACGTTTTTTATTTTTCGTTATTTCTCAGAAATTGTTGAAAATATTTTAATTAATTTCAGAACTTTTTATTATGCTGGGTATCTGCTAGTCTAGGCGCCTTTTTTTTTTTTTCAGATGTTTATTTTGTTAATTTAGATCGTTTTTTTTTTTTTTTTTTTTTTGGCTGGTGCTATTGACAGATCATCTGGTCAAGTGATACCCATCTTTAAATTGACTCGAGCTCCATTAATGCGCCAGAAATATCACCTCAGAATGTGAGCTGGCACCATGTTTGTACAGATTGAAATATCCAGTGGGTGTAATTTATACAAGAATGCTTGAAATTCTCATGAACTGCGAATCAACCTGTCAGTCCGAAGCCGTTTACGTTTACAGTTACACCCACACGCGCACATAGCCTAGAATTTATGACTAAAATATCACTTACTCATACACATCTACATATAAAATAAATTTAAATATTTCGTGTATGTTTTTATTGATGCTTGATGTCATTCCTGCAGAAAAAAAAACAATAATTGGAAATGCAGTACTCGAGCAGCTCGGAAAATTACTCATCCTCAATAAGAGATTCGCCCTCCAAATGGAACGGACGTGTAAGTCAAAATTCTTATTATTTTTGTAGATCTCATTTAAATCATATAAATTTATTTAAATCTACAGAACGACAAGAATTATGCGTACAAGAAGTCATCGTACCAATATTCAAGCTCTGGCGATAATAATGTATCATATCAGAGCAAGGGCGCCGATCAAAACATCGATCAGTTGGATGCCCTGCTGGAGGACCTGAAACAGGAACGCCAGCACACAACAAGAGAACGCGAGATTCTACCGGTTGGAACTACTTATAGGACACTGTAAGTTGGTTGAGATTATAATAGAGATATAATATAATATAATACTATTTAAAAAAAAAAAATTGTAT